ACCGAAAACCAACCCAAAATGAGTTAAACGGATCGTTTCGTTCCAAAGAAATAATCGGAAGAATTGTCATTCACTATTCCCCCCCCCCAGTTTTTCAGTTTCAGCCGCTCCGCTGGATTCAGTCCTGGTGTCTGCACTTCAACAAGGCTGTTGACAAATTGGAAAGGGTTCGGAAGAATGATCTGAGGCCTGGAAAACCTGCGTCTCAGGAAGAGAGTCACACCACTGTAGCTCTATTGACCTAATCCCCAGTATCAGGAGGTAGCCGTGTTAGTCTGTATCCACAAAAACAACGAGGAGTCCGGTGGCACCTTAAAGACTAACAGATTTATTTGGGCATAAGTTTTCGTGGGTAAAAAACTTATGCCCAAATAAATCTGCTAATCCCCAGTGTAGACGCAGCTAGGGCAACGGATGAATGCTTCCATTGACTTAGCTGCCATTGGTCAAGGAGGTGGTGTTCCTACACCAATGGAAAAACCCCTTCCATTGCTTCAGGCTGGGTCTACTCTATGGGGTTATGCCAACATAGTAGGGCACCGTAGCTGTGCCAGGATAGTCCCCATAGTGTAGACATGGCCTGAAGCTAGATAAATTCAGACTAGAAATAAGGTACAAATTTTGCAACAGTGAGGGGTCTGAACCCTGGGAACACCGCACCTAGGGACGTAGGGGATTCTCAATCACTTGAGTCTTTACATTCATAGATGTAAGGCCAGAAGGGACCATTGTTGATCACCTAACCTGACCTCCTGGATAACCCAGGCCAGAGAATTGCTCCAAAATAATTCCTAGAGCAGGTCTTGTAGAAAAACATCCCATCTGGATTTTAAAATTGCCCGTGATGGAGAATCTACCGCAACCCTGGGTGAGTTAATTACTCTGCCTGTTAAAAACGTACACCTTATTTCCAGTCTGAATTTGTCTAGCTTTAGCTTCCAGCAGGTTTTCTAGTCCTTTAATCACTTTTGTGGCTCTTCTCTGAACCCTTTCTGAGCTCCCAACATCCTTCCAGATTGGCCACCTCTTTCTCAGAGACACATCCTAGCTCAACCAGAAGTTACGGGCTCCATGCAGGAATCGCTAGGGGAGGTTCTCCAGGCTGGGCTGTGCAGGAGGCCAGACGAGATGATCAGAACGGTCCCTTCTCGCCTGAAAATTGACACGTCCAACAGAACTGACCCAGTCTGGACTCCCTGACGTTTCCAGAGGGGCTTTCATCCCAAAAGGGAACCCAAAGCTATGGCCCCAACCCTGCAATCGATCCACGCAGGCAGGTCCGAGGAAGGGTCTGTCCGGGCTCAAGGATTGGATTGCAGGACCAGTCAACAGAGCGATGAGGGAAAGACTCCTGCACCCCCCCGACTCCCGTTTTACACCAGTGTATTCATGGGGAGAATGAGGCTGCTGCTCGTCGGACCAAACCGGTGCCGGGACATAATGGTGGCTCTCGATGTCTGCAGACTCCAGAGGGATACGTACAAGCTTGAGCTGTCCACACCAATCCTGCTCCTGAGAATCAATGGGAAACCTGTACAAAGCCCGCCAACTTCAGCATAGGCACCCATGCCCTACCCTAAAGATCACGCCTTAAAACAGGGTCTGTGATGCCTTGATCCTTCTCCAGTCCACGCAGCAGCTGGTGGCTCCAGCTGGAAGACTGGGTCCCCACCGGGACTGCACAGGCCCACAAGGTGAACCCTGCAGGGCAGGGTTGGGGCGTGGCCGTGACGGGCCGTATTTAGGGGAAGCTCACCCCGATGCCTATCCTAGTTGCGTGCATAGGAGGCGCTGGTCTGCGGGGCCCTTTCGCCAGTGCTGAATCCACTTAAAACACAGGGGAGAAATTGCCCAATGAGAAATCATAAACCAGCCCTGACTAGCAAAACTAAGAGACAAAGTCCAGCTGGGCTCCTGGGCTGGAAGAACTGGCTTATTGGCGGGGTGGGAAGCCTGCCACCACAGCAAAGCCGTGGAGTGCCGGGAGGCAGAGCGCACGCAGAGGAGACGCAGCTATTTTTATCCTGCCTTTCATTTCGATTTGAGCTGCAGTCACAGGGCCATGCGTCAGCGTGATACAAGGTGACAGGCCTCATGGAAGAGCAAAAAGCCACAACCATTTTCTTCTGGACAGATTGGGGGGGATTCGGGGAAGGGGGCACATGTGGCAAGGGGGCATCTACATTTCCAAATGGAACCAGGAAGAACCATATTCCTCAAGCGATCGAGCCTACAGCTGGCTTTGGAACCAGGGTGCCTGATTAATAGTCCCGCCCTTCCTACACTTGGGGCAGGGAGGTAAGAGCGCTCCTAAGCCCCTTTACCCACCCCCCATATTCTGGGGTCAGGCAAGCTTCTGTCCAACCCTGGTGTAAATTACAGCAGCCTCGGGGCTGCTCTAACTCACATTCTGATTCCCATAG